TTTCAGAGGCCCAGGGTGAGAAGGGAGAGGAGGTTGTTGTCCTCCCTCCCCCAGAGTCAGCCAGAGTGGAGGAAGTCAGCCTCCCTCCCCCACGGTTAGCCGGAGCAGATGTGAGATCCCAGCAGCAGAAGTGCTGGCAACAGGGCAGAGCGCCGCTGGCCTCTGCCTAGCAACTACAGCCACCACCTGGATACCCCAGGGATGCTGGGTAGTCGGCCCAGATCCCCTACAGAAGGATGGAGTCGGCCCAGCCACCCTGTCTTCTCTCCAGCGGCTGAGAGGATTTCCGGGAGAAGGACCAGTCCGTACTTCTCCCCAGCGGCGGGTATGTTCTACGGGAGAGGCAGAGGTTGGCTGGGTGAGTAACGCTTGGTGTGGGACAATTTGCATGGGGTACTGTGTGGGTGCTGGCATTGAGAGACTGGAGTTGCAGAGTAACTTCAGAGTACATCCGTGTGGGATCTACTCCTGCGTTACTCTCCTGCCGAAAGGGGAGATATGTGACGGGAGTGACTTTTGGGGGTGGGGGGACCTCTGTATCATCTCCCCAAATCATTATGTTTTAAACCCACCCTGTGCCTGTTAAGGGTTACAGGGTGTGTATGTGAATGTCTGAGTCTTGTGTGTGTCCTTTGTCTAGGGCACATGGCTGTCCGTTGTCTGTTTACCATGTGCTACCCCCCATTGTGCTGTGTCTCTCTGTCTAGTGAACTATTATGGGATGTACTGTTTGTGTATTGGTGTGGGGGTTGGTCAGTGTCCTTTGCCACATGGTTGCATCCCATTGTTCTGTGTCTGGTTGGATGGGGAGGGGTGATGAGGTGTTTCCTGCCTATACTGTAGCCCTTCCCACTGAGGGTGGGCTGATGATGTATGTCCTGTCCCTGATTGTCTTTCCCCGCCCTCTGTATAAAACATGTTTTGTGTACAATAAAGTTAGTTGACTTCCTGTTTTAGTAGGAGCTGGTTGTCTGTCTGTTTTCCTGAGGGATTCCGAGGGTGTGGTCCGTGGATGGTGTTCGGACAGGGGAAGCTGCAGGATAACGGAATATACCCAAGTGCGGTCGGGTACCGGTTCCGTTACAGGGTTCCTCTCAAAATCCATACCAGACCCAAAGGGCTTGGTATGGATGGAGGGGGGACCCCACGCCGTTTTTTAATTATTGTTTTAATTGCTGCCAATTCTTTCTTTTACATTCAGCTGTCAGTGGGGAACCCCGCTGACAGCTGAAACATTAACGTATGGTTTTCTCTACTAAAATACCACACGACTTGATAAAATACTCATGCAGTATTTTAGTAGCTTTTTTTGCAAATTCAAAAAATTTTTTTTTTTTTTAATTGCTATGTGGTATCCTACCACATACTCGGATGCGGTAAGATACCGCTTAGTGAATTGTGCCCATTGTCTAATAAAGTCAATTCAGAAACCAGAATTTTTCCTCCCCCAACACCATATCACTAATCACCGGTTCCAAGTGGCAAGGCCTATATCAGCAGCATCCTGTGGAGTAATATGAACACAAATTTCCCAGTTTGTGCTTTAAAAAAAACAATCTCTGTCTCCCTTCATTTATTAATATTATTTCCAAAGTGATTCAGACATAAAATTATAGTTTTTATCACAGTAGAAGCTTTGGTGTAGTTAAAGTGTTAGTAAACCCAAGACCCTGAATTCACTATATCTGGTCTTCCACAGTACACAGAACATGGAAATGCAATTATTTTAGTAAATATAAACTGCTGATGTGAATACCTTTTCTCATCAGCAGTTAGAGCAGTCTTGTGACTTCTATCAGTGTTCAGCTGAGCACTGGTTACAGATCGTAGGAGGAGTTTTCATTCTGCTCTGACTGTCCTATGAGGCAGAATAACCGCTGACCCTCTGTCTGGACAGTGCTGATTGGCCCTGTGCTGATTACATGCACCCTCCCAAAGAAAAAAAACTCCTAGAGTTCTGTACTATCAGCAGATGGATTGGGGACTGTGGAAGAAGGGGAGGATCAGAGAAGACAAGATCGAACAACCATTTTACACCATGCTGAGAATTAACCCATTAGGTTCCACAGTGAGTGTAACAAAAATGCTTTACTGCATATGGAGACTGATTTTACTGTTGAGGGTTTGGAAACACTTTAAAGTAAACCTAACATTTTTTTCATTAAATGCATGTAACGTGAGCATAACGCAGATATTTATTACTGATCACAGAGATCAGAGCACTCCCAACAGACAATGTCTTCATCTGCTTTCTTTTCCACAAGGACCTCACCATCTTGATTCAGACTTCATCCAACATCAGTATCAGCTTCCTGAACTGATATGCTGGCTCAGTGATGATGCAATCATGTAAATCCTGGTGCTAGTACAGTTTTTAGCTGTGGTAATTTTTTACAGGTATTTATTTAGTGCTGACAATTTATGCAGCATTTTACATGTTGTACATTCACATCAGTCCCTGCTCTTAAGGGGATTTACATCCTGTATTTATGCATGTAACTTAACATACATAAGTATACAGACCAGGTAAATTTTAGACAGAATCCAGTTTACTTACCAGAATGTCTTTGGAGTGTAGGAGGAAACCAGAGAACCTGAAGGAGTTTCCTGGTTGAGATTTGAACCAAGAGCCCCAGTGCAGCTAGGAAGATGTGCTAACCACAGCTCTGCTCATAGGTCAGCCACTGCTGTAGCCTCTCACCAACGCTACAGCTTGTAATCACCAGCTGTATTAGAACAATGACAACATTTAGCTTAGACAAAATAATTGACTAAAGCTTAATGACTTCCTTTTAACCACTTTCCAAACGTGCTATAGCCGAATGACTACTACAGCGTGGTTGTCAAGTCCTGGGAGGGCGTCATATGACGTCTTCCCAGAACATGCCCTCTCAAGCACCCCCAGCGGTGCGCACCTGGTGATTTCCATGATTGCTCTGTCCTACGGACACAGCTGATCACATGATGTGGTAAAAGGCCAATCACAGCCGCCTTTTACCATGTGATCAGCTGTGTCCAATGACACAGCAGATCACTGGTAAATGCAGTTGCCGGTTATCGGGTGTACTTTCCTCATGTTGTCACAGCGTAAGGAAACTACTGCCGATAACCGGTAATTATCAGAGGATGGATTGGCACTGACGATCAATGCACTGATGATCAGTGCCTAGCAGTGTCACCCACCAGTGCCGTCCACCTGTGCCCAGCAGTGTCAGCCACAAGTGCCCAGCAGTGCCACCAAACTATGCCCATCAGTGCCCAGCAGTGCCACATACCTGTGCCCATCAGTGCCTAGTAATGCCACCCAGCAGTGCCCCCCATCGGTGCCAAGCAGTGTTGCCAGTCAGTGCCCATCAGTGCAGCCAGTCAGTGCCATCAGTCAGTGCCACCCATCACTGCCCATCAATGCTGCCCATCAGTTCTACCTATCAGTGCCCATCAGTACCACCCATCAATGCCCATCATTGTTGCATATCAGTACAACATCATCAGTGCCGCCTCATCAGTGCCAGCTCATCAGTGCTGCCTATCAGTGCCCATCAGTGCTGCCTATCTGTGCATATCAGTGCTGCCTATCAGTGCAGCCTCATCAACGCATATCAGTGAAGGAGAAAAATTACCTGTTTGCAAAATTTTATAATAGAAACAAAGAAAAACTTTTTTTAAAATGTTTTGCTCTTTTTGCTTATAGCGCAAAAAAAAAAAATAAAACTCCCAACAGCGAGTAAATATCACCAAAACAAAGTTCTATTTGTGTGAAACAAATGATAAAAATTTCATATGGGTACAGTGTTGCATGACCGTGCAATTGTCATTCAAAATGTGACAGCGCTGAAAGCTGAAAATTTGTCCTGGGCAGGTAGGGGGTATAAGTGTCCAATAGGCAAGTGGTTAATGATAAAAAGTCAGCTTTGTTTAAAATGCTATTATTGCTGTATATTGTGACATATATGGTATCTACAGTAATCATGCAAGTTTCAACTAAGTTACTGAAAGGCCTCCTTTATAGTTGACCTCCAACTTTCTAAGACTGCCCACCCATGGTCTGGAGAATACTTCACATTGTGTAATAAAAAACATGTATTGAGCTTTGTTATAATGTAAAGAACATTATTTCTATCCATTAGAACATTAGTTATGTTACGAAGGTTCCCTATAAGAAAGGCCTTATTGTGACTCTGCAGACAACACCTCAAGTGTAGCCAGCTTCGATGATACATAACTTGTTGCCTGATTCTTGGGAATAAGGCAACCTGACCTTGCTCTCAACCATGCCTACTGCTAAGAAATGTTAATGGGAATCTAAAATTACAAGCACTTAGTAAAACAAGTAGGCTAGTATAGCTGTATTTAGGCTAAAGAAAATTTTCAAAATGAAATGGCAATGTTTTTGCTAACAGCATACTTTAAATTACTCTTGGTCAGGAAATCTATTAAAAATGTTTGCTTTTATTCAATTTGAATTAGATTTGTAAATAAACCATTACACACACATTCCAGTGACCCATTTCTGTGGACCAATTCTTTGTATTCCTCCTACAGAAAATCTGAGTTCCTTCTTTTATCACTTCTCTGCACAGTCATAGCACGGTCGTTTTGTGTGTCTAACTGTAGTACCAAGCTATGAAATCATTGGGGTTATTTATAACATCACTCCATTTATTAATTCCAGGAATATTTGTAACCACTTGCCCTCCAGAGGATTTACCCCCCTTCCTGACCAGGCCATTTTTGCGAAACGGCTCTGCGTTACTTTAACTGACAACGCTGTACCCAAATTAAATTTATGATCTTTTTTCCCACAAACAGAGCTTTATTTCAGTGGTATTTTATCGCCTGTGCGTTTTTGTATTTTTTGCGTTAAAAAACAAAAAATGACAATTTTGAGAAAAAAAACTATTTTTGACTTTTTTGCTATTAAACATATCCAGTAAAAAATGTAAAACTCAGATTTCATCATAAATTTAGGCCAAAATGTATTCTGCCACATGTCTTTGTTAAAAAAAATCCCAATACCTGTAAATTAATTGGTTTACATGAAAGTTATAGCATTTACAAATGGCAATATATATACTGGAATTTTTTTTTTACTGGTAATGGCGGTGATCAGTGGCTGGCATTTTGACACTGGGAGAAACTGACTTGGTGTCACTGACATCCCCAGTGACACCAATACAGTGATCAGTGCTAATAAAAAGCATTGACACTGTACTAATGGCACTGGGCAGAAAGGGGTTAACATGTGGGGCGATCAATGGGTTAACTGTGTGCTGTGTGCTTTTATACTATGGGGGCTGTGCGTGCCTTACACTGTAAGCACACTGCTTTGTATGGCTCTGCTATGCAGAGCCATACAAAGCAGTGTGCAGGAGCTGACAGGGGAGAGATCTGTGTTGTTTATACACAGGTCTCTCCCCCAGTCAGAGATACTCGTTGATCACCGGGTGACGGCAAGGAATCACCAGTCGGGACTCGGTTATTGACAGTCGAGCCCGCAACCCGGCCTACCCGGATCTGCAAAATCACATATATATACGTGATTGTGTGCACCCGTGCTGCCCTCTAGCAGTATTTCTGCGGTTAAAGAAATGTGAAAAATCTTTACAATATAGTTGGTAAATTCATCAACACATCTGTTTTTCAGTACAGAGTTCCCCCCTACTAACTGTCTGTCATTTATATATTATTGCCATGGGTGGGCATTGGTTCTACATACTCTAGCTGTAGTGGAAGTAACATCATACATGCCAGGGACAATCAGACAAATAATTATACATTCAAATGCACTTAGGGGGTTGATTTACTAAAGGCAAATTGGCTGTTCACTATGCAAGGGAAGTTGAATTTTGCAAGGGAATGTGCCCCAGAGCATAGTGAATGTGGTGAAGTTTCACTTTGCCAAGAATACCCAATCATGTGCAAGGAAAATAAAAAAGAAACTGAATTTTTGCTTGGACTTGATTGGATGATGGCAGTCTTCAAAGATTTACCTCATTCACTAAGCTAAGGGGCAAATTCCCTTGCAAAGTGCTTCCTATTTCCCTGTAGTAAATCAACCCTGTAGTAATCAAGTACATTTTATATTTTTAAGTTGTAGCAAGCTCTGGCTTATGTTTAGTAATTCTTTACCCCTATATCCTTCTAATAAATATTGCATCTCCTGCCAAATAGATTGTGCAACTGTTCTGCTCTGATGCTTTGGTGCTTTTCCATTTTTCAAGGCTTGACTTTTCTTATCCCCTTTTTGCTGTAGTTACCATTACCATTAACTATTCAAATTATGCAGCAAGAAACAATCCACCTACCGCTACTTTGTTATGCTTTTTCAGCATTGGTGGATAATTCTACTCCTTGTCTCTCCTTTCTATTAGCTTCCTTCTCTCCCTGTATCCACAGGTTTGAATTACTAAAGGAAGAGAATATGTTCAAATAATCACTGTACAGCCCTTGTGTGGCTGTAGCATCTGTAATGCATGCATGTTGCTTTAGGGCCCATTCACACCACAGTGCTGTACACTGCAACACGCATGCTATCATATGCTGAAGGGTGTTGTGTTGCATTGCATTAGACAGGCCTTTCTAAATGAATTCACACAAAAAAACAGCAGGATTTATCACAGTGCAGTACAACACTGGACACTGTTTATTGTACTGTGCTGGGCTGCATTGCTTGCAATTTGCATTGTCATGTATTGCAGTAACACACACTTTATTACAAAAGCAGTGATGTAAATGGACTTAATTTCTCTACACTTTAGAGGTCCCCACATATTACCATGGAAAAAGGGGCGGACTGACCATTTGGAAACTCGGGCACTGCCCGAGGGCCTGGGGTCAGTAGGGGGCCCCACGAGATGCCCCTGATACCTTTTTCATAGGCTTTTTTGAGTTTGGGCAAGGACACAGGGGCCCCATGATCCCCTATTGCCCGGGGGGCCCCATGAGTTGTCAGTCCGTCCCTGCATGGAATGACATCTACCCCCAACTCTCCAAAATTACTCCTACCCATATACTGACAACACACAACACCAGAAAAGTCAGATGCTGGAACTTGGTGGATGTACAACTAATATGACAAGTCTAGGGCTGACAAATGTCACATCCCAGTCCCTAAATTGACAGTCAGATACATTTTTCTATGCCTCTAGAATAATGGCAATCCTCACCCACTCCAGATTGTAAACCTTGCCCCTGCAGAATATGCAGAAACAAATCGCATGTATACAGTTTATATACATTATATTCTAGTTTTTGTATATTTATTCCATATGACATATAATGTGTAACTAATTCCATGACCACGCATTCAATATATCTGGTCTCCCACAGCTCACAGAACATGGAAATGCAATTATTTTAGTAAATATAAACTGCTAAATACCTTTTCTCATCAGCAGTTAGAGCAGTGTTGTGATTTCTATCAATGCCCAGTAGAGCACTGGTTAAAGCTTGTAGGAGGAGTTTTCATTCTGCTCCAACTGTCCTATGAGGCAGCATAACCCCTGACCTTCTGTCTGGACAGTGCTGATTGACCCTGTGCTGATCACATGCACCCTCCCAAAGGAAAAAAACAACTTTCTAACAATATTCACTAAACTGAGAATGTGCCGAGTGACTCCTAGAGCTCTGTACTATCAGCAAATGGATTGGGGACTGTGGAAGAAGGGGAGGATCAGAGAAGACAGGATCCAACAACCATTTTGCACAATGCTGAGTATTATCCCCTTAGGTTCCACAGTGAGTATAACTAGCATGCTTTACTGCATATAAAGACGGATTTTACTGTTGAAGATTTAGTAACACTTTAAGGTAAGCCTACCATTTAAATGCATGTAACATGTGAGCATAATGCAGATAATTATTACTGATCACAAACTGCTAAATACCTTTTCTCATCAGCAGTTAGAGCAGTCTTGGGACTTCTATCAGTGTCCAGCAGAGCACTGGTTAAAGCTTGTAGGAGGAGTTTTCATTCTCCCTTGATTGTCCTATCAAGCAGGACAGGACCGCCGACCATCTGTCTGGACAGTGCTGATTGGCCCTGTGCTGACCACATGCACTCACAAGAAAAAAAACAACTCTCTAGTAATACACACTGAACTGAGCATGTGCAGCTTGCCCCCAAGGCTCTGTATTATCAGAAGATGGATTGGGGGCAATAAAAGAAGAGGATGATCAGAGAAGACAGGATCAAACATCCTTTCTACACAATGTGGAGAATTAGCCCCTTAGGTTCCACAGTGAGTATAACAAGCATGGCTTACTGCATATACAGACTGATTTTACTGTTGTGGGTTTAGTAACACTTTAAGACCAAAAATGGTACAGCATTTGTACAAAATCACATACATACTTTTTTTTCTCTACTTTTTTACCATCCCATGAACAGGCACACGTTTGTTACAATCAAGTAAAATAAAAGATGTAATATTAATGAAAATGTCCACAGTATCCCTGTTTCGTTTAGTATTCTAAAATTCACTGCACACATATTATTAAAAATATATGTATTTTTTGCTGTAATTAGTCTAAAGCTTGAGCATGAAGCATAATCAATAGAACCGGTCTTTAAAAAAGATAAATAAATTACTCTGATTGCCTGGGCTAAAAATAGCTTGCAGCCATCAGTTACCCATAGCATGTGAAATGTTTGCTTCCCAATCTGTTTGATGTCTGCCTCGCCTTATAATGGCTGAGATAATCATGAAGTAAAATTTAAATGTTAATTTTCTGCATTTATTTGCATTTGCTGAACCATTTTTTTTCCTGTAATTTCATGTAAATGTTAAACACACTGAATAAACATTAAGGTTGCTCATGATGAATCTGGTAGCTGAGATCATGATATAAAGATTTATATATGCAAAACACATACAATACACATATTATAGCATTATTTATTAAAGGACCACATATGCTTGTTCTAATAAACTTCAGCTTTTGAAAAGGACAAACATTTAGACAAAACATTTACTTGTTGAATATATAAAGGTCACAAAACACAAACAGGCTCATATGTTGTCATAATGTCCAGTGTGCAAAGTATAGCAACAAATCAGAATTCAGTGCCTCATTTAGTAACCTGACATCTGATTGATTAATTTGAGTTAATTATTATAATAATTTTTTACATTACATTACCAAATAAACATAAAATTAAACAGGTGTCTAGCACATTCAGTTCCTCACAATTTAATTACACAGGTCAACATGCATTTTGGTGCCTCGAATGTTAGATCCATTCCTGATTATATATTTGAACCTCTGATTCCAAAAATGACACCATTATTTCCCTATGAGCTATAGTTTTTGAGATGCAGCAAAAAAGCCATATACCACTCTTCACTCTGGTCACCTGTCAAAAATCAGGATATATGTAGTGTTTTATTTAATCTACTTGTAGCATGAAAGAAATACATAAAAAGAAGCCATAACCTCTACAGTGCTCAATATGCAAAAATTAAACAATATGAGTGGCAACATACAGGGTTGCTGATAAGGCAGTACAACCAGCTCTCCTCTACTGGGCCAAGGCCCCATCAGTTCAAAATGGGGGCCTGGGCACATGCCGAGCAGGAGGACTGGCTGTACTGCCTTACTGCCAACTTTTGTGGCTCCCCTTGCAGCGCTGTTGGCTTCTCCTCCATTTTCTCCCTCTGGCTGCACTGCAGGGGAATGGTATCTATGCCCCCACCTCCCTGCGGTGCTGCTGGCTTCCTTCCTTTCCTCTCCTGCTAGCAGCTGCTGAGAGCATCCAGAGGGGTTTGTTTCAGGATGCATAGTGGGGGTCAATAAATATGCCATCCATCCTTTCCCGAATGAACACAGTGAGTGATCATAACCAAACACCCCTGTGTCCATTCAGCACTGAAGCATAGCAAACTGTGTTTCTTATGTTTTTGTTTGTGAATGAACAGGAAGCCTCAGAGCGCATCCCATTCATTCTTTCATTTTCCGAATGTCACATGTCATTCATTGACTGAATCTATGTCTTCAGCCACTTTCTCTGTCTCAAATGTGGGACATTAGAGGTCTGTTTAGACCCATGATATTTCACCAAAGGCCCTCTAGAACAGTTAAAAAAAATGTAAAAAAAAAATAAATAAAGTTCGAAAGAAAAGTAAAAAATGTAAATTCTAAAAATAATTTGAAAAAAAAGGAAGGACTCGTTCAAATGTGCTTTGCCTTGTGAAAAGCAGTCATCATTTGCATCGCACTTCAGAGAGCATTTTACAGCCATAATGTCTTCTTTAACGCCTGCTTCAACACTGCACTAAAACAACAGCTACTACAACACAAAAACTGCATGCAGAGCAGTATTCATCTGATTTTCAGCCTTGGCTGTGAAGCATAGCATCATGTCCGTGGCATTTTAGC